AGAAGGTCTATAGCCAATTGCAAGCTGTGTGGAAGGAAATCGACAGGAGGCGACCCAACCCGATGAAATGCCCAGAGGATATGACGATTTTCACACAAATTCAACAACAAAATCGTCTGTATCAATTTCTACAAGCCATAAACGAAGAGTTTGATGTAGAAAAACGTGATATCCTCAAAACAGATCCCCTCCCCTCCGTGGAAGAGGCATACGCCCAAATCAGGAGGGAGGCTACCAGGAAAGGAATAATGAAGGGAGACGATGGGCCTTCATCGGGAGATGTTCCCTCAGGTCTTGGCAGTGGGTTCGCAGCCACACGGGCTGGATTGCGATCGGAAAAGGAAGTATTGTCATCTCGCATAAATGAGGACAAATCAAAATTGAAATGTACCTATTGTGGTGGAACCAAGCACACCGCAGAAGGGTGCTTCAAAAGAATCGGGTACCCAGATTGGTGGCCTGACAGCCGAAAGAGGGGGAAAAAGCAGCCTGGGGTCGCTGGGGCAGTGGTGGGCAATCAAGAGACCACCAGCACCACCGCCGTCCAAGCGTCTGAAAACTTCGCCGGAATCGCCACGGGTAACGTCGAAGAAGAGAGCAGCGGCGTAAGAAGGAGAGGCGAAGAAGTTACGGGTAGGGGCGAAGTGATGGGTAGGGTTTGGGGAGAGGGATTAAATACTCTTTCCAAATCAGGCCCAATAAATAGAATCTGGCCCAAATCCCTGCAAATTAAAAATAACCAGTGGATTTTTTACTGTGGGGCTACTGACACGATGTCCTTCGACCGTTCCAATTTTAATTCTCTAAATTGGTCCAAGAAAACGCATATCCAAACGGCCAATGGGAATTATTCTCGTGTCGAGGGCACTGGTCCAATATCTATCTCAAATTATATCCGGCTGGAGAATTGCCTATTTGTTCCCACATTGTCTCACAAATTGCTGTCAATAAGCCATGTCACAAAACAATTAAATTGCATGGTCCTAATGCACCCCACTTTTTGCTTATTATAGGATATTCAGACGGGGAAGATCATTGGGCATGGTTCTGAGCGTAATGGCCTGTACTATGTCGAGGAATTTGATCATTACGGAACAGCTACGCTTGCTCATGGGACAGTGGACAGGCAGGCATGGTTGTGGCATCGTCGTTTGGGACATCCATCTTGGGGGTATCTCAAAATTCTCTTTCCAAAATTATTCAATAAATC